ATGATGTAAGAACATTTTTTTCTATATATATATATTTCGCCAATTTAACTTTATTGCACCAATTTTACTTGCAGCAATGTCTATCCATGTTGTCTCTAGATAAAGTGTATGTGTTAAGCAAATAAGGGAAGTGGAGTATTGGGTATGGCTTATTTTCTATATTTATTGTTTGGGGTGTTTTCTGCATCCTTTTAAAGTATTCTCTATACATATACATATGCATTAAAAATGTACATGTTATAATGCAATAAGTATTGCTTATGCATTCAATAGAGACAATGAAAAGAACATGTTTTATGCCTAAAGGAATTGGAATTTTAACCCGTATCCATGAACGATTATTCTCATCACAGTTCATTTTACTTGAAGTATAGCTTACATTTTATCTTGAACTCACATAACTTACTAACAACAAGCTCTACATTTGTTTAAAATTAACGCTGTATGTGTCTTTTTCCCTACTGTTTATGGTAAGGACAGTTTAAGTTGTGAATCCAGACTTTGTTTAACATGAAATTTAGTAAAATTAAATTAAAGAAAGATCTTGGTAGGCAAATATTTGGTTATTTTATGTTACAATATGATAATGAAGAAGAATACTTCTTTAGAAAGCACTTGGTCTGCTATTTGAAGCTCTCTCCTTTTTTTCACTGAAGTTGATAAAACGTCTAAACTTTCATCAAACGCGAGGAGAGTTTGGACCAGATGTGACCTGCAATTTGCTAAATAGAAACAAAAATGGAGAACTGTGTATGCCATCTGTTGAAGCAGAAACCAACATACTGGTCTGGCATGATAGTTCTCCTGGAATAGACCCGAAACATAATCTCATCATACTGTTTCTTGTTTCTCCTTGTTCTTCCCTTGACCTAAAAGTGCTATGTTTTGCGGCATCACTGCATAGCAATATACTAGGTTGGGACTTAACCATTTAGGAGCCCATGGAGATAACAGTATCAGAGGTACGTATTGTGTTAGTCTTTTATCGTTTTGGAAATTAAAAATCGTGATTTATACTCCTCACTGCGGTTCTTATGTCTTGGCTTTTACAGATGGCAGGACATTAAAGCGTGCAGTTATCTAATGAGGGGCAGAGCTAAGCATCTTTTCAGTATGGTCATCTTTTGCTTGGGCTCTAGAGAGTAATCTAATTGTGCTGAGAACTAGGTAGAGAAGAACTAGAGAGAAAATTAGAAAAGGAAAACAGTAAAAGGCAGAAGCTACATCAGTATGCTCAATAGAAGTTCTGCACTGAATGTTTCATTATTCAAATAATGTAGGGGGTGGGGGGGGAAACATAGCTTTTAACCTTGCATTTAAAAAGAAGAATGTGGTGTCATTAGTCAAGGGACATACTTCCTCTTCATTTTATCTTTTTTTTTTCTTTCTTTAACACAGTAGCTGTTTGGGACCTGAAGATGCCAAGCAATCAGAATTCATACCTGTTCAAAGATGAAAGGATGATTTTTTTTTTACAAAGTTTGGAAGTGTGCAGTTTACTCATTTGAATTTAAAGGATTACTCAAAGCCTAAAATACCCTACTGCCTTTTTGTGTTCTATAAGCAATAGTATATCATTGAGACTTACTGAACCCTGTTTTTCTATCACCCTTCCTCTTAAAATGAAAAAAAAAAAAAACAGCAGTGTCATGCCACATCATTGCTTTTTGGTGGTCCATTCGTATGCTTCTCATAGAAAAGCATTGCGGGACCTAGGGCATGTGCGTGGCAAGCCCTGTGACCCAACAGTGAGGTCATTCTGATAGAGAAGCATTGAATTTAATGCTTTCTTCTCTATCAGAAATAGTAAACACTGCACTGTGAATGTGTGTAATGTGAGTGTTCATTAGTAGAGTTGAGCGAACCTAAACTCTAAAGTACCGAACATCCCGATATTTGACCCCGAACTCGGACATTTCAGTAACAGTTCGGGTTCGAGTTCGGTGTTCGATTTAATGGCGCATTTTGAAAAGCTGCATTCATGGTTATGAATAAAATGCAACAACAAACTGTGTGATTTGATAGTCAATGCAGTAAAGTGCAAATAGCTTTCCTCCCTGTTCCCACGATGCCTCCTGTCAGTATTGCTGAACGTCCTGTCACTTAGACAGAACGCTGGCAAAACTGCCAAATTGCATCCTAACAGAAGGAGAACAGTTTCTCCATTCGTGTTAGAACACAATTTGGGACTTTGTTCGTATTGCAATTTCATTCGAATGAATGAAACTCCAATCCTATTCATTGCGGCGGCTGCATCCCACGGTATTAGGGAACTATCTACCAAAAGGCTGAAAGACCTAAATTGGTCTTTCAGCCACATTTACTAATACTAAGTAAAGATTAAATTCAGCCCCTACTAACTATAGGGGCATGTGTACAGGGGCATGTCTAGTAAACAGTGAGCAGCCAGTGGCTGCTCACTGCAAAAAAAAATATAAAAAAAAAAACCTATTGGCCCCCACGGCCCCCACCCCTGAGCGGTGGGTGCGAGCCCTAAATAACAATGGGGGGGACCTACTGTCCTCCCCCTGGCCCCCAGCCCTGCACGGTGGGTGGGGGCCCTAAATAAGAATGAGGGGAGTGGGACCTACTGTCCTCCCCCACCGGACCCCACCGGCCCCCACCCCTGTGTGGTGGGTGGTGGCCATAAATAACAATGAGGGGGGACCTACTGTCCTCCCCCTGGGCTCCACCCCTGAGCGGTGGGTGGGTGCCCTAAATAAGAATGACGGGGGGGATCTACTGTCCTCCCCCTGGCCCCCACCCCTGCACAGCGGGTGGGGGCCCTAGATAAAATTGAGGGGGGGACCTACTGTCCTCCCCCCTGGCCCCTACCCCTGCCTGTAGGTAGGGGATAACTTTTATTTGGGTGGGGGGGTGACTAGGGGCTTGGAGACCCCTAGTCACCTTGGAAGGGGTTGGGGGGGATTTTCATTTAGTACCCCCACCCGCCGCTTTGGGGTGGCGGCCGGGGGAGGACAGTAGCCCCCCCTTATTGTTACGTAGTGTCCCCACCTGCCGCGCATGGGAAGGGGGCCAGGGGAAGGACAGTAACCCCCCTCATTCTTATTTAGGGCTCCCACTCACTGCTCAGGGTTGGGGGCCGGGGGGAGGACAGTAGGTCCCCCCTCATTGTTATGTAGGGCCCCCACCCACCGCGTATGGGTGGAGGCCAAGGGGAGGACAGTAACCCCCCCTCATTCTTATTTAGGGCTCCCACCCATTGCTCAGGGGTGAGGGCCTGGGGGGAGAACAGTAGGGCCCCCACCCGTCGCGCAGGGGAGGGGTCCGGGGGGAGCAGAGTAGGTCCCCCCCCTCATTGTTATGTAGGGCCCCCACCCGCCGTGCACGGGTGGGGGCTGGGGGGAGGACAGTAGCCCCCCCTCATTCTTATTTAGGGCCCCCACCCACCGCTCAGGGGCGGGGGCCAGGGGGAGGACAGTAGGTCCCCCCCTCATTGTTATGTAACCCACTGCGCAGGGGTGGGGGCCGTGGGGGAGGACAGTAGTTCCCACCCCTCTCAATATCATTTAGGGCCCTCACCTGCCACTCAGGGGTGGGGGCAGCCCGGGGAGCCTCCATGTTCATTTTGCTTGGGGCCCCCAAATTCCTTCAAATGGCCCTGCTCGTGTGCCCTTAGAAGCCATCACAGCCATGCCTACTAATTAGCACTTATTTTTTTGTTTTCTTTTTTTATGTGTCCCAATATTTTGGGGGCTACCCCAATAAAAAAAACAATGTTGGCTACCTCCTCCTCCACCGCCGCTTCCACCTACACCTCCACGGTCACCGCCTCCTCAACCCCCTACTACACATCCACCTCCTCCTCCTTTTCAAGATTATTATTTGAAATTTTTATGTATTTTATGTTATTTCCCTATCCACATTTGTTTGCAGGGCACTTGTCCTACTCTTACCCCCATTTTACTCCCTTTTGCAGCCCTCTAGCCCTTTCCAGGACTTTTTTAGAGCTATTTTAGTGCCCAAAAGTTTGGGTCCCCATTGACTTCAATGGGGTTCGGGGTCAAGTTCGGGTCATGTTCGGGTCCCGAACTTGAACTTTTTACAGAATTAAGGCCAAACCCGAACAACCAGGTGTCCGCTCAATTCTATTTATTAGCATGAAACAGCTGAGTAACAGCTTATCTCACCATTAGGGCCCATTTACATCGTGAACCAAGGTTGAGAGAAAGAGGATACGAGTCATGGATGAGTGTATTGGGCAGTCTAATAGACTATGTACACATGAGTTGTGCACACACAGTATTGAAACCTTCATATTGAAGTACTTACTATGTACTTACAGTGCTGATTACATTTGTCGCCTGTACGCTGTGTGTGCTGACTAGTTACTTTTCTTTGCACACAATTAACATTCAGTCTGGAACAGTGTTCTGATCTGACTACACCTTGTTCCAAATTATAATGCAAATTCTATTTAAGTGTCACAAAGATTAAATATTTTGTTTTTCAGTTTAACTCATGGATGGCATTGTGTCTCAGGGCTCTTTTGATCACTAAAAACAATCTCGGCATAGGGTGCTGTATGTGTGTAGGTGCTGTATGTGTGTGTGTGCTGTATGTTTGGAAGGATTGTTAAGGTGGGGGAAGGTGGGGGAAGATTAGTAAATAACCCCCCTCCCTTCTTACCTTATGTAGGGAGGGGGGATCCTTGCTGTCCAAGGGACAGTGAACTCTAGCCTGCGGGGCTAGAGTTCACTCTCGCGAGATCTGAGCATTGCCGCGGCAACGCTCAGATCTTGCGAGAGGAACCTGGCTGAGCTTCTGTCTAGAGCTCCCCGGGTCCTCTCCTGCCTCCCTCCATGCTGCTGTGGGCTGGTGAGGTAGATCTTTGATCTCCCTGCCGGCCCATGCAGGCTTAGAGCAGAGCTGGCACTCAGATAGCGCCAGCTCTGCATGAGCCGACAGTGGTCAAGTCCTGGGGAATAAAGTGTGGGAACTCTTGCAAGATTCCCACCCCCCCAAAAAAATAATATACACGTGTGTGTGTGTGTGTGTGTGTGTGTGTGTGTATATATATATATATATATATATATATATATATACGCGTACTCACACACACACACACACATACATTCACAGACACACATATACACACACACTTACAGACACATACACTCACAGACACACACACATACATTCACAGACACACATACAGCACCCTTACAGGCACACACACATACATTCATAGACACACACTCACATACACTCACACACACACTTACAGACACACACTTACAGGCACACACACATACATTTACAGACACACACACTAACAGACACATACACTCATAGACATACACATACATTCACAGACACACATACACACACACACACACTTACAGGCACACACACACTCACAGACACACACACATATATTTACAGACACACACACACTAAAAGACACATACACTCACAGACACACACATACATTCACAGACACACACACACACACTTACAGGCACACACACATACATTCACAGACACACACACATACACTAACAGACACACACACACATACACACTTACAAACACATACACACACACACACATTCACAGACACAAACACACATACACTCACAGACACACACACATACACACTTACAGACACATACATTCACAGACACACATACACACATACACACACACTTACAGGCACACACACGTACATTCACATACACACACGCTCACAGGCACACACACATACATTCACAGACACACACATATACACTCATAGACACACACACGTACAGGCACACACACATACATTCACACACATACACTCACACACACACACACACACACACACTTACAGGCACACACACATACATTCACAGACACACATACTCACACACATACACACACACATTCACCAAAATTTTTTTTTTTAATAAAAAATTGTCCACCCAGCCTCCCTACCTGAAGAGCTGGCGTCCCTGGGGTCCAGTGGGTCGGGCGCCTATCTCCATAAAACAGGCGGCGAGGGAGCTGTGTCCTCTCTGCTCCCTCGCGCCGCGCGGGCTGTCTGCTGTAGCTGGGAGCCGGAATATGATGTCATATTCCAGCTCCCACCATCAGCAAATGGCGCGCAGCGAGAGGAAGCAGAGAGCACACAGCTCCCTCGCCGCTTATTGTATGGAGATAGGCGCCCGACCAGGTGATGGGGAGTTCATCACCTCTTGCCCCTCCCCCCATGACAGGGGTTTCATGGGGAAAGGGGGAGGGCATTTGGGGGCGGCAGAGTGCCTGCAGGAACAGCGGGAATGGCGTTCCCACGCGTTCCTGCAGGACTCACATGTGTGCCGCAGGGATTAGGGTGTGCCCAGGCACACCCGGCACACCCCGTGCGCACCCCTATGAATCTCGGACACCTGTGATAATTAGATTGCCAGGTGAGCCCAATTTAAGGAAAAACTACTAAAGGAGGGTGTTCCACATTATTAAGCAGAGCCCCATTTTCATGCAATATGGGGAAGAAAAAGGATCTCTCTGTTGCTGAAAAGAGTGAAATAGTTCAATGCCTTGGACGAGGTATGAAAACATTAGATATTTCACGAAAACTTAAGCGTGATCATCGCACTATTAAGAGATTTGTGGCTGATTCAGAGCAAAGACGGGTTTGTGCAGATAAAGGCACATTGAGGAAGATTTCTGCTAGATCCATGCATCGGATCAAGAGAGCAGCTGCTAAAATACCATTACATAGCAGCTAACAGAAATTTGAAGCTGCTGGTGCCTCTGGAGTCCCACGGACATCAAGGTGTAGAGTACTCCAGAGTCTTGCAACTGTGTATAAACCTTCTATTCGCAACCACTAACCAATGCTCACAAGCAGAAAAGGCTGCATTGGGCAGAAAAATACATGAAGACATTTTCAAACAGTCCTGTTCACTGATGAGTGCCGTGCAACCCTGGATGATCCAGATGGATGGAGTAGTGGATGGTTGGTGGACGGATACCCTGTTCCAACACGGCTGCGACATCAGCAAGGCGGTGGTGGGGTCATGTTTTGGGCCGGAATAATGGGAAGAGAGCTGGTCGGCCCCTATAGGGTCCCCGAAGGTGTAAAGATGACCTCTGCAAAGTATGTGGAGTTTCTGACTGACCACTTTCTTCCCTGGTACAGAAGGAAGAACTATGCTTTCCATAATAAAATCATCTTCATGCCTGACAATGCACCATCTCATACCTCTGCATCAATGGCTGCTATGGGGATAAAAGGAGAGAAAGTCATGGTGTGGCCTCCATCCTCCCCTGACCTCAATCCTATTGAGAACCTTTGGAGCATCCTTAAGCAAAATATCTATGAGGGTGGGAGGCAGTTTACATCCAAACAGCAGCTCTGGAAGGCTATTCTGACATCTTGCAAACAAATTCAAGCAGAAACTGTCCAAAAGCTCACAAGTTCAATTGATGCAAGACTTGTGAAGCTGCTGTCAAATAAGGGGTCCTATGTTAAAATGTAACATGACCTGTTAAAATGTTGTTATAAGTTTGATTGAAATATACACACATACACACATACTTACAGGCACACACACGTACATTCACATACACACACACTCACAGGCACACACACATACATTCACAGACACACACATATACACTCATAGACACACACACGTACAGGCACACACACATACATTCACACACATACACTCACACACACACACACACACTTACAGGCAAACACACATACATTCACAGACACACATACTCACACACATACACACACACATTCACAAATAATTTTTTTTTTAATAAAAAATTGTCCACCCAGCCTCCCTACCTGAAGAGCTGGCGTCCCTGGGGTCCAGTGGGTCGGGCGCCTATCTCCATAAAACAGGAGATTTCAGTAAATATGCTGCAAACACAACAAATGACAATTTTCAGTTCTTTACAACTTATCAAGTGTTTTGAAACTTACTGTGCGTAATAATTTGGAACAGTGCATTGTAAGTTTTTTATGTTTAAAATAACATACTGTTATCATTAGGAGGTTTGTGCAATAAAATTTGAATTGTACTCTTAATAGTTTATAACATGAGAATTGTGCTGAATGTTTTTTACATCAATTATTTAGGTAAATGAGAAAAATATAATTTGGGACAGGGTGTAGATCACATGTTCTGTATGTGTTACTAGACTGGCACAAACGTAGGAATATCACTATATAGGCAACGATTCAAGCTGAAAGGCTGCACATACAAATTACTTGCACAATGACAACTTCTAAAAGCAGAAACGGTTATGGTGGCTGGAGTGAAATACATTTCAGTATATGTGACAATAAGATGTATCACATGACACAAAATGCAGAGCCTCCCCCCCCATGCTGAGATATCTGCCTGGCAGTTGCTGTTTGAAAATAAAGATTGTTGCTGTTTGTACCAAGATAGAAGCTGGTTGTCTCTTTCCTTGCTTTAACGTTAATGCTGATGGATAAATGGACTCCAAGCCCAGGTCATAACACTTAGCGTAGTGATCAGCTGTGCAAGTTAGTGGAAGTACCCACGGACGATATCAGTCTGTATCGTTACAGTATACATTATAGATTATTACAGAGAGCATTTTTCTTTTTTTCTGGTAATTCTAACTTTATTCTTTGTTTCTTAGTTTACTAAGCACCAAATTTGTTTTAGCAAATTCGTCCAATTTAATATTTCTCAATTCATTTCAGTAAGACTAATGGAATTCCATTCAGATTCACTGTGTTATCTATTGACTAAAGTGAAACTGCATTGAGTTGAATGTGCCCCTTCTATTTGCAAAGAAATCTCATAGCAACAGTAAGATTTGGCTAGAAATAACAGAATGGCAGTAGAATCATAGCCAAACTGTAACTGAGCTGCAACGAAAGTATCCTGGTATTAAAAAAAAAAAATGTTATTAGTTGTTAACAATGCTAACAAGAAAGTATAGTTGGGGGATTTCGGGTCATGGTCTTCTTACAGGGAAAACAAATCGAAATAGCGCCAAGACTTAAGAAACTGGGTGTGTTGAAATGTTGTATTTCATATTTCCTGGTGTTGCAGATCCATTACTGCTATTTGTATACTATGAAAGTTTTGGAGGGTGGCCTTGGGATCCTGCACCGACATTGCACATAAGGGGAGCTGAAACTCCATATATGTCTGCAGGGAAAGGGAGGTTAAGAGTAGCCTTAAGAGCATCAGGAATGACATTATGGGTGTATTTCCCCTGATCCATATAAGGGGAACTTAATCAATTCAATTAAGGGCATTTAGCTGCACAACTGAAATAATTAGATTTGCCTTTTCTGAGTAACTGAATGCATGGGGGGGCTTGCAAATTGGGGGAGAGGAGTAGTAATTTCCCTGCAGGCCACTAGCATGAAAGGGATGGCAATGGGATATGGGTTGAAGTCTTATTCACATCATGTGACATGTGAAAGTCTGTTCATTTTGGTTGAAATATAAACACTGAAATAAAATGCCCAGTGAGAAAAATTGTCATAAACTTACCTGCTCTAGATACCCATGCTGCTCCCCTCCTTAGGTACTGCAGGCCGAATGCTCCAAGTGGTGGTGCAACCTAAATAGGAAAAAATTACATACTATATGCCCCGGCAAACAGTTCTCTCTCTTGGTTCGCAGGGGACGAAATTCATCCTTGATGCTGTCTGCTTGAATTGTGCATCTTTTATTGATTCATACTTTGTGACATCACGGTCACCCTTAACGTGACCACGTCATCCAGGTGACGCCATTTTCAACCTTCGGGAGCTGCAGAGATGACATGGACCAATTAAAACTATTGTTAGCCTATATAATGCTAATTTGGGTCCTTATTCAGTGCCCTATCATGGTTTCTGCCTTGATACACATTAGCCCTTATAGTAAGTCTCCCTTGATATTTTGAAATTGACCTTGGCCTTGTATTTGTCGTTGATTATTTCTGGAATCCTCACCAGCTTGTTATTTTGTTTGTCTGTATTTCTATAATCCTGACCATGGTTATTTCTGATGTCTCTATCGTTATTAACATTAAGTCAGTCTTCTATATGGACCAGTAATACATCCATTTAGAATCTCTGCCTCTGGGATTTGTCATTTCCTGTAAGTTTGG